AAATTCCTCAACCTGTGATGGATCTTAAGATAGAAAGAAAAGCACCTCCTATTGTTTTAACTGGAGGTTGCTAGTACTGCCAAATTCCTTGAAACATACTCAACAATTTATGACTCTACAAGCACTATCACACTGAGGGTAATCATAGATTTAGAACTTTAAATTGCATAATAACTCCATAATGAGGTAGAAAGGGCAGAAAATAGTTTTTTCCATTCTATTATTTAGAAAGCAAAGATGCAACTGTTTTGCCTGTAATGCTTCCAACATGACATTTGAGGTTGTATGGTAATCTGATATATTCCCAACAAAGTATACTGGGATCAACATCAAAGTAAAAGGACTATATATTTCAAAAATGGCTAATTGACATATTCAGGGTTCTAGTATCTTAAGTCTTACTACACCTATCCTTAAGACAAACTTAGCCACAGCATAACATCAGTGCTGTGAAACATCTTGGTGTACAAATGGCATATTTTATTTGTAAGGGTGCCCACATTAAATCAAAAGGGATCCCATCAAAAATAATTAAAAACATATTTTTCTGATATTTTCCCTGTTTTCTATAAATGCTCTGTTGTTTGTAAACAAAAGAGATTAGAAAAAAAGATTGGTTTTTGTGCATTTTATAGCATCATGCAAATTCCCAGTTTGACTGTTTCCCCTATTAGTTTATCCTGTGGTTTGTGTCAATCTTGTACTCAAAGACAAGAAAAAGAAAAGATTTAATAGGAAATATTATTCTACATCCATAAAAACTACCAGGAAACCCAGGCAGGCATCTACCCAAACTACTTTAATTAGTTATATTTTAGTTAACAATTCTATTCATATTCCTATACTCTACCATATATTCTCATATACTATATAACCATGGCTTCTGAATGCTTTTTAGTTAGACAAGGAAGACTCTCATAGATTTGGCTGGGCTTTGTATTGGACCCAGACACTTAAACTGTTAGTAGACCAGGGGTGGGCAACTATTTTAGGCTGAAGGCCACTTACTGAGTTTTGGCAAGCTGTCAAGGGCCACAGGGGTAGCCCTGCCCCTTAACAGATGCCCCACTCCCTGGTTGCCATCTTGTGACCAGAAGCCCTGCCCCCTAAGCCCTTCCCTTTGCCACCAGAAATCCCTCCCCTTGCCCCCAGAAGTACTCCTTTCAGCAAGGGGTTTTGCCATCTCAGAACCAAAAAATACCAAATTATGTTCTAAAAAGTTAACATCTACAACAGGGGTCAGCAACCCCTGGCACACGTGCCAAGCATGGCACACAAGGCCATTTTGCTTGGCCCTCCACTGCCAGCCCAGGCTCTAAGCAGCTGCTGCCAGCCACAGAGCCCAGGCTGCTCCCAGCAGGTGGCTGGGAGGCTGCAAGCCCTGCTGCAAGCAGACTGGGCTCCGTGGGCCGGCTGCAGCCAGGAGGCTGCAAACAGCTGCTCCGGGCTCCGGCATGTTGGCACTCCGGCACCTTCCAAGGTAGACATTGTGGTTTTTTTGACACTGACAAAAAAACGTTGCCTACCCCGATCTACAACATTCATTATTGATTTAAAAAAATATTTTTGTCCTGGTTTACATGTGTTTGTGTGGTGTATGTAGAGGTGATTGTATATAATAGCTTAAAATGAAGTCTCAGTCTTGTATATTGTGTAGGGGTGGGAGGTATGGAGGTGGGTATTGGTTTGTGGGGGGCTGTGGGTATGTGGGGTCTGGGGGAGGGTGTGGGTGTGCCTGTAGGGGGTGGATGGGTGTGGGGGGTGTGGGTGTGGGGGTCTGTGTGTATGGCAGCATGTTGGGGGTGTAGGTGCATGTGTTTGGTGGGGTGTGGAACTCACCCTACAAACACACTCTGCCCCTGCCTACACACACACACACACACACACACACACACACACACACACACGCTGCCCCTCCCTACACACACATCTGTACTGGTACAAGCCCTATGCTCCCCAGTCCAGTGATGCAGCCAGGAACCACATGATGCCAAAGCAGTACGGGGGCAGGAAGGCAGGGAAATGGCTGGGGCAGGAATGGGATGCTCGGTCCTGCTGGCTCCCCCTGGGTCCTACTGCCCCGGCTTCTATCATCTTTGACAGGCAGCCAGGAGCAAATAAATATTAATGTTTTAAGGGCCCCGCTGACCAGATAGAATGAGCTGGTGGGCCAAATCCAGCCTGTGGGCCATATTTTGCCTGCCCCTGTAGCAGACAGTTCCCCTTAAAAAAATTTGATGGTGGTGGTGGTAGTGGTAATGTTCTCAAACTGAAACAGAATTAGACTTAGAATTTTATACAGCTCACACTTTTATGTTAATTAACCCAAACTGTCTTCTCTGCTACTGTACCTGCAAGGTTCTGTGACCTGAGGCTGTTATATTATGCTGTGATCTTTATGATATCATGTCTGAAGGAAAAAATCAGTTTTTCTTATTTTTTTAATATTGGAGCCTTCATCTTTCTTACAACCCACATCCTCTTTTTATTTGTCATTGCTCACTGTACCTTATGTATCTCAGACTCCAACCTTGCAAGCTGCTCCACCCAATCATAAGATTAGGGCCAAAAATAAGTTCCTTGAGAGGCTGACTTGTTTTTATTTGTAGCACTGTAGATACATTATATACTCTGCAAAGTAAAGAGTAAAGTACTGATAGTGAAAGGAAACATGTAAATTAAGAAGAGTAAATTTTGATCTGTCTGACAGTAACCCACATACAACTTTGGACAGTGCAGCCTTTATTCAGAGAGCAAATGTTAAGTAAGACTTATCTTCTCCTGCCCTTGGCTCTTTAATTTCCAAAGAGACTGATGCAGTAAATAAAACATTTAGGGTAATATTGATTTTGATGGTGTGGATTTAATCTGGCAACAGCAAGGAGAATAAATGGGTACATTTTTTCCAAAAGCTACCTCTGTATCTAACTGGTCTTAGGACGTTTCTCTTTTTAGAGTTGTATCAGCAGGATTTCATTCATGAGCTGACAATTCCACATCTAGCTCTTAATTTCCACAAATGAGAGACATTTTTTCTAATATGTCTTAAGATATTTCATGATTTTTATTTTAAATGCTTCCCCTTTTTATTGTCGGATAACAGGAATCCAGCACAACTTCAGGTGGGGACACTGGGTGGGGTGGTTGCAACTGTTGCACTGCATACTGTATCTATCTACATTGTTTTACAGACAAGATTCTTGGGGTTAATGTGATATCTTTTATTAGACCAACTAAATAGTTGGAAAAATTGTTCTTGGCAAGCTTTCAGGCACAAACACCCTTCATCAGGCATAGGGAGAGTCTGCTTGTGTTTTGTGTTCTCCTGGATGAAATTGAAGCCAATATGCAAAATGCAGGTCTGTGAAAATACAAATGTATGGCAGTGAGGATCAGTGGCAATGGGAAACAATAGGTGCAAGGCAGGTAGGT